TTGAAAAACGGCATTCGTTTACAGTGGCCGTTTACGGCAGTCATATACGACGTTTTACGGCGTATTACGTTAATCGTAAACAATGACCGTAAACTTTCGCCTTTTACGACTACCGTGAAAATACGGCGACTGTAGACGACGGTCATATACGAATTTTTACGAGGTATTACGTTAATGGTAAACAGTGAATGTAAACGTTCGACTTTTACAACCACCGTGAAAATACAGTGACTGTTAACGACATTCAGAATGTGCGATAACACGGGGAAACAAACTGATTTCAATAGGCAAAATCAATCGAAATCGCATGAAATCGGACGAAATCATCGAAATCAGTAGAAATCATGGAAATCATCAGAAAACAAAAGGGATTATTTGAAATAGCTAAAAATCATTCGAAATCATTTTAAACGATCTGAAAGGTTTCAAGTAAATTAGCCTTATTTCACATGATTTCTTCAACTTTCTGTCGATTCCCACAAAATCCGGATGATTTTTGATCATTTCTAATTATTTCTATTGATTTCTCATGATTTCTAGTGATCTTGATAACTTTTTGGCGCCATTGAAAATCTTGAGGGTGTGGGTGTGGGTGTGGGTGTGGGTGGATCTGGGTATAACTGTTATTTTCCGTTAATCCCCATTCGGACTCCCACATCCACAACCACGCCCTCAAGATTTATTTTCGTTTTTAGTTATTCAATTCAGGGTTAGATTTCAAATCCGAAATCTGAAATCAGATTTATCTTCGATTTCTTTTCGTCGAATCTTCGTTTCGCGTCTTTCCCGATTCAAGTTGAGTAGCATGTCCACAATTCAGTTTGTATTGCGGTTTTCCTCAAATCCCTGCTCATCTTCCAGCCAATTTCCAGTTTCCTAGAAATCACTCAAGCTTTAAGTCGAAAGGTAATGTTTTTTTTTTTTTATAAATGTAATGATTCTAAAAACCAAGTGGAATCTTTTGGAAATCGGCTGGAAATCTTAATTAAATCTTTTGGAAATCTGAATGAAATCCATTTCAAATCCAAATGAAATCTCGTTGAAATCTAAACGAAATCCTTTTGAAATCCAAATTAAATCTTTTGGAAATCTAAGCGAAATCTTTTTGAAATCTAAATGAAATCCTTCTGTAATCTCAACGAAATCTTATTGAAACCCAAATGAAATCTGTTTTAAATCCAAATAAAATCTTTTGGAAATCTTAATGACATCCATTTCAAATCCCATTTAAATCTTTTTGAAATTTAAATGAAATCCATTTCAAATCTAAATGAAATCTTATTGAAATCTAAATGAAATCTTTTTGAAATCCAAAATAGAATCGTTTTGAAGTCCGAATGAAATCTGTTTGATTTGCAGGTGAAATCATCGAGAATAACGAATGGAAAACGGCCGTTTACTTTGATGTTCGGTAGTCGTGGTGGTCGTAAACGGCTGTATATGTTAAGATACGGCGATTCTCGTTGTCGTAAACTGTCGTTTCGTTCGAAATACGACCGTGTCACGGCACTGTTTTTAACGTTTACGGTAGTTGGGTTTCACCGTTTACGTCACGGTGGGTTACGGCCGTAATACGGGGAATACCAAACGGGTTATTTACGGCCCGTATACGGTCGTAACTCTGACGGTTACGGCCGTTTGCGATATCGAGCACGGCTGTTTACGGCCACTGTAATGTTCGTCCTGGGATTTATCGTACTGTCATATAATTNCCCCCCCACACACACACACCAGACTAAATGCGTATGGTAATAGTGTCTTTCGTAGCTATGTCACCAAAATCAGTCATGACTGTAGCAAACATTGTATCATCTTGAATGTATGAAATAACTTCTTATTCTATCATCTCCAATGGAAAGAATTCAGATATGCCACGTCTTTGCTCAGAATTGTAATCATTAAAGCAAAATGTGATGTTGTAATTGAAGGAAAACTTTAAGACCGCATCATTTAGATCACGCATTAGAACAACAATAGTGATATATGTGTACATCGAACATTTGCGCCCCCATTTAAATAAAGTCAAGCTCACATCTTGTAGCCAGTTGGTGATGGGAGGTGAATAGACTGATATTTGTCTTTCAGATTTTGCATCCACTAGTTACCATTTTTATTTCCTGTTCATTATAAAAAAAATTGTCCAACTCGACTTCTACAAACACGTTTGTGTCTGTTAATTTATTGTAAATTCATTTAAAATGAAACTAGTTGTATTTGATTAGTGTTTATCCAGCGATTAAGCACAATCAAGTAGTTTCGATATAATCTTGAAAATCAAATGAAACTGTTATTCTAAACTTATAGAAAACTGATTCTTTCACTGCATATTTTGAAGTGAAAACAAGTTATCGTTCTTCAAATCGAATCTTTTTTTCATTTGTAAGATATTTTACTGTTGCTACCTAGTAACAATACTATAAGTTCTACAACAGGAATAAATAAATATGATGATACTCAGTGAATGAGCGAGTTGTGGCTTTGACCATAGATTTCGAGAAAGAACCCTGCCAACGAACATGTGCATTGCCCTATTTTGATTGTCATCTCGATATCTTGAGGGTGTGGAGGTGTCCAGAACATCAACACCCACACCCTCATGGGTCTCAGTGGCTCCGCCGCCGCTGTGCGATTATCATACGAATACTGATAGTCATTCTCAGAGATTGAGTCATTTCACTTTACCTGACGAGATTTATTGTGAATAGATTTAGCCTCAACATCGAAAATATTGCTGAAAACAATGAACATAATGCGAACGTCTGTTATACCATCGATTGTTTCATTGTAAAAGATATTATCTTTAAATACTTGATTGTTTTACCCAGATCTGTCCTTATTTTGTTACTATTTTCCAGAAGCAAGATAAAATATAGTTCCTATCGCATTCCCCATGTATTCATAGATTATTATTATTGTCCCCATCAATACTCCGATTCGTGATGTTGTTGTGTGAAACCAAAACGTTTTGTTCGTTCTCCTTTATAAATCTATGACACTGGGATTTTTTCTAAGCCCTGATTGGTAAAATATCCTAATACAACTGAAACAAGCTTTTCTTTATTATTGCAACAATCTATATTTCATTCATTTAAAAACATGAAAATACCATTCATACTGATTATATGGCAGAAAGAAATCATCTGCTCTTTTAGTCATGATATCGTGCTAAAGAGACGACTTCTAATTCATATTCGTGTTCTCAAATAAGATCTGGAATCGTGATAAACATATTTGAGTTTGATAAACAAATGCGATTCATAAACTACCAAACGTCTCCACTGCAAAATAGTTTGTGTCACAATATTATTCGATCAGCGCACTGTAGCAGTACTATAAATGAGACTTATTTGATTCTAAAAATATTTACAAAAATATGAGCGTAATATATTATTTTAGGTTTCATATTTTTCTTTCGACGTAGTTGTTAATTGATATTCGTTTATGAAAAATTGCAAAGCCTATTAAATACTCCAACGAGAAAAGATGCAGTGGCAATAAAAAAAAACACTAATTTAGGTATCAATGAGTGAAACCGGTTGATGTTTATTATTTTAAATAACCGTATGTTTGTCCATGAACTATCATATGCAAAGGTGGAGGTGGGGGCAAAGGAAACGTATTATGTGTGTATGCTCTAATAGATGATGACTGCCATAATTATTAGTATAAAAACTGGTATTCTTCCCGTCCGTCTCTTTACATAATTATATTTTTCCTTTCGTCAATGTACAAAAGCATCGATACCTAATGTTGATCGATTTTATTCTTTCATGCGTGTTTTTATTTTTTAAATATCTTTAGTTAACATATTGTTGTTTGTATGAAGTTAAAAAAAGACCAGTGAAGCTTATACACTATTTACTTTTGTACTCGCTTAGTATTTCGTAGAGTATTTATCTTCATATTTCCTTGCTTGTTGGCAAACTCGGCAACGTTCAAGGCTACAGAAAGGAAAAATATGTTCGACCCGAGAACTTGATTCGTCGGGTGTTATCTCAATCCAGTTGTTCAAGTCCAAGCGATTGTCAATCAAAATGGGGCTACTGTGGAACAGGATCGGATTACTGTGGGGATGGCTGTCAAGGAGGTCCATGCTTGGGAAATAATAACCCTAGTGGAGGTAGAGGTGGTGGTTCGGTTGGTGTTATAGACAGCAATGCATTTGCCTGTGTTTTCAACACAATCGATTCTTCAGCGCGTACTAAACAATTTGGTGCACTTATAGCATCAGGCTGGACACCTAATAACAAAGATGAAGCTGCTGTTTTTCTTGCTCATGTATATCATGAGACAGATGGACTCAAGACAATGCGAGAATATTGCGCTCCAGGTACAATTCACTAAACTATTGAGTTTCTAAAAATATCTAGAGCTTTCTGTAAGATAGCGATACTTTTTTTTTAAATTGAGCAGTACGATTTTATTGATGAAAAGAGACAATAGTTCATTATAAGTATTCACTACTATAGTTAACGATGTAGAGAAATAGAGCGAGATGGTCAATCTTTGATAAAATTGAAATATCTATGTATGCTATTGATTTTGATCAAAAAAATCTAATTTAGGATATTTTTCATTGCGCCTGAAATGATGAAAACTGGAAAGAAATAATCTTTTTCTCAATTATTAGGGTGTGGACCTCAATACTCAAGCTCATGGTGTAGTATCAATGCAGCACCAGGCAAATATTACTATGGTCGAGGTTGGTTCCAACTATCATATTCATGTAACTATTATAATGCTGGTCAATCTCTTGGTGTTGATCTTTTGAACAATCCAGACTTGGTTGCAACTAATCTTATGATAGCCGTAAAAACAGCCGTCTGGTTTTTCAAAACGAACAATATGGAAGGACCAGCCCGACGAGGAGATTTTGCTGCTACAACGCGCATTCTCAATCCTATTGAGTGTAACGGTGGTTCAGGTTACCAAAATCAATTGACCCGCGTAGCAACGTACAGACGTGTCCGTCAATGCTTCAACCTTGGATCGCCGACAATAAATCCTATCTGTTAGACACACTGAATTCCCTTTTATCGACTTGTTCGCTTTTCGTCAAGCTTTTATTTCTGTTTTTACATTGCTCTTCCAATTAAAATTTTTCTGTAAAACCAGCAAGGACAAATGAAATAAACCTGATTTTGTCTGACTAAGCAATAATACCCAAATTATTAATTTTTTCATTTGTAAGATATTCAAATAATAATCTGTTATTTAGCCATGAACTATGATTTTACAGGTCAGAGATAGCTGACTAACCAGCAAAGTCACCATAACCGTACATATCATTACACGGTAGAATGACACGAACAAATCATTGCAAGATTTCATAGTTATTGTTATTGTTAAATCAGGATGTAGCTGATGATGTTAATGTGGAGTATCTGATTGACTAAGCTCATGAATTTCGTCTGATGAAGATCGAAAGATCCTGTTGAATATGTGTTAGACAACTCAAATTTTTCGTTTAAATTAAACCATTAAATTTCTGCCACGCTGTTAAAATGGTAAGAGTAAATTCACCAGATTTTTTCAGAAGTATTTCTTGCTTTTCATCACATGGACACTTCATTGCATGCAAATAATTTGTTCCGCGAATGATTCAAAGCCATGATGAACGGAAATCAATAGTGCATCTAAAAATCGTTCTCGCTCATGGACTATTTATTTTGAACATATTATAGATCGTACGAATAAACTAGCGACATAGATCACATTTATCATTTGATGAAATATTTCATTATTTAAATAGAAATAACACAATAAAAAAAATTAAGCAATATCTACTTATTTTATTCATGCACATTTTATATGTATTTTCAATAACAAACATAATTATCTGACAATTATTTATCATTATAGAGAAAAATAAAGGAAATTCACACAAGAGAAACAAAGAAAGAAAGAAAGAAAAAAAGAAAGAAGAGATTTAACATTATACATTTAATCTTTTTTTATCGGCGAACAATCGGCATCGAAGAGAAACGATGATGTTAAGATGGGTGATATTGATAGTTGTTTCTGTAGTCGATTAGAGGAACTTGAAATACGATGATCATCCTAATTAATAAAAATAAACAAAAATTCAATCTTTTATTTTTATTTAAGTTCTTTTTTCCCCAACATACTTCTGTTTCACTATCACATTGAGGTGGTGGTAAATCTGGTCGTTGAGTACTTGTAACATCACCAGATCCATTTTCATACTGATCATTATCGTCAGGAAGGAAGCTAACATCATCCTCTTCTTCATCTTCGAATAAACGTCGTTTAAGCAGTGATACATTATTTTGTGCGCCACCATTCGACAAACGAGATGTTTGATTTGTAATATTAAAACTTGTATCAAGTGATGTATTTTGTATTTCATCACATTGTTCCATGACACACGAATCAAAGTCAACAGGTGGTCGATTTTGAACTAGATTTGCAATGCAAAAAAACTCATATTCAAACAAAAATCTGCTTAGTTCAAATCTTTGGCAACTATAAAAAAAAGTACGATAATTTTACGTATAAAAAATTAGTAGCACTAGTATTCATTCGGAACTGTTTAATATAAGTTATAAAATCTTCATCTGGCTCAAATGATTTTATTGAATCGTAAAAATTTTTAATCTATGCAGCGGCGATCAGCAGAGATATTTGCAGCTGTATCTTTCACTACAAATCCCAACAAGAGAAAATCCTCAAACCAATATATATATTGATTATAGATTTATATTTAAATATAAAAAAAATTGTTTGTTCTCCACATTCTAATTATGTAACGAAGAGAGAAATCTATCGCCACACACGAGTAACTGGAATTAATATTCGCGAACGTTGATCCGATATGTATCAATTACAAAATGGTATACACACGGAGATTTTATTCGCGACATAAATTATTGTTATTTTTTATTTATTGATAAAACTTACAATCTCGTTGAAATATTGATGTTGTTGTCTTAACATCAAAATGAGGGAATGGCGATGTCATTGGTTGATTTGCACAGTAATATCCTGGAATGAAGTATCGAACACGGGAACTTTGAATCTCAAGCCCATCAATCAGTTATACTAACCATATTCATCTATGGATAAAGCTTTTTCTTGTTGATTATTGGGTGCAGCCGGTGTTGGTAAATGAAGTTTACTTGAACAAAACTCATAGGCAGCTCGTTGATAACGTTGCATTAGGTTTTCATCACTTAAATAAAACGAATTGATGATTGCTTTTTTCTTATTGAGAAAAGAAAAATAAAGATTTTAATTTACAAAAGAGCAGCGTCGATTTGAATAAGATTTTCATCCGAAAATCTTTTGGGATGTAGTTCAGCTAGTTGTTCAACAGACCAATCAAAAACAGATGCTGACGTTCGTGTCTCAAAAAGAGTATCAATTTTTAAGATGGATTCATTTTTTTTTATTATTATTATTTTACTTTATCATTGTCATCATTTTGTGAGAGAGCACGAAATATACTAGGACTAGCCAGACGTTGTTTAAGATGAGCTGATGTTGGTGGATCGAATGGATTATGAACAATACGAAATAAAGGTGGCGTTTGATAAAAATGGCAGTCTTGTGAGAAATTCGTTTTTGTTACAGGCGTCTGATGACCATCCGATAATGATCGATATTGAAAGTTTGCTGCTGGAAAATAATCATCGTCATCAAGATCCATTGGACGAGCTGGACTAGACATCATGCCGATCATTAATATAATTACAAAATCTAATTAGAAAAATAAATAAACTAAGATGAGTTACATTTACGTACAAGCGATGCATGCCACCAGAAAGTATTGTTCCTGTTACATCCGCCGCTAATTGTTTTTCCTTTAGAAGTTTTCTGTTCTCCTCCTAATACCACTGTGGTTGATATTCAAAATGTAAACATACTCTCTTTCGGAAAGGTAACATTATCACCGAAGAAAATAATACAATCGCTCTCTAATCAATTAATTCAAAGTAAAATTTACAATTCTGTAAAAAAAAGGATTTACTTAAAAAGGAAAAGAATATAGCCAGTCGAATAGCCAATCAAAATCTTTTATCAGTCCTCTCTTATGAATTATCATATTTATTATTGAAAATATTGTAGATATAAATGCAAAAAAATCACTTTTCTCATATTTTTGTACATTTTTCTCAATGATGATGATTGATATCTGAATAATTATAAATCAGAAGAGTCAACGAATCGGTTGACAATGGATCATTTGTGTTTATTATTTATTATGTTGTGTCATATGCAATTCGTAAAGCAAACGTCTAGTTTTTTTAGAAATATCTTCTATTTAGATATTTTAATATAAGTATAGTTTTTGTTACAGTTACCGATAACTGTATGAAACACTGGTACCGTGACTACTTTATGATGAAATTTCTAGAAAAATACTCTGTTCTGCGTGAAGAAATCTACCGATAGCATTCTTTTCTATATATCAGAGAGATGTTATTGAATTTTTCTATGTCATAGGTAATGAAGCGTTTTATTTTTCTTCCATTTTATAACAAAATGACTCTAGTATAGAGAAGAATGGTCGAAATACATTCAAAGACTCTGCCTAATAAAGGTAAACTAGACACGATGATTCATCGATGATATGATTAATACAAATAGTAACTAGTTAACAACGAAACCGTAGCGAAAACTAACCATCGAGTTTAGCTAGTTGATCTTGATTTAAAACGAGTAGAATATTTGGATTCTCGTCCTTGTTAATATTTTCCATTTTTCTATTTTAACCTCGTGGAACTGTCGATGATTGAAAAATTTAATACTATGACATAATTTAGATAAATAATTTTTTCGAATACATCATCGTGATGTTCGCATCATTTTTCTTTTCGTTTAGTTTTTGTAGTTTGAAATCAGCCTTCAAAATAAAAATGGTGTTGTCGAACAACCTGAGGCAAATAAACTGATAAGCAATGCATTTTTCTCCATAGATGACCAAGTGTGATGTTTATCTTTGTCATCACTAACTAGTGAAGAAAAGAAGAAGAAGGAGAAGGAAAGTTGCACATTTTGTTTAGTTCGTGTAAATGTAATATGCAGAACTAATGTCTTTTTTTCTTGTTGCTCGTAGGTATGGTGTTGTGTGAATCTATATGAACTAAAATTTTTGGATACCATTCGAATGTATTGCTTTTCTTTTCTTTTTTATTATTATAGATCTTTGATCCTTGAATTCTTTATATTCATAGCGTAAGCTTCTTCTTAGTATTTTTATTTCATTATTACCAATATGCCTTCATCTGTAACTGAAAAATGTCCCGCCTATTCGGCTTTTTTTGGCTCGATGGGTGCGACTGCCGCTGTAGTATTTAGTGGTATGTCCTATAAGTTCGCTATTGATTCTTAGAACAGTTTATATTTCTTTCATTCTAAAGCAATGGGTGCTGCTTATGGTACAGCTAAATCAGGTTGTGGTATTTCAGCTATGGCTGTTATGAGACCAGAATTTATCATGAAAAGTGTTATTCCGGTCGTTATGGCTGGTATTATTGCTATTTATGGTCTAGTAGTTGCTGTACTTATTGCCAACAATATTGCTGCTGACAACTATGGTCTCTACAAGTAAGAGCTTTGTTTTTTGTTATATATTATTGAATGTTTATAAATATAAATCACGCATGTATGCCTGCCTATAGAGCATTTCTTCAATTGGGCGCTGGTCTATCAGTTGGTTTAAGTGGTTTAGCAGCAGGTTTTGCTGTTGGTATTGTCGGTGATGCTGGTGTACGAGGAACAGCTCAACAACCACGGTAAACAGAACGATTTTTCATAGGCAAAATGCTTTTAAGGTCTTCCATTTAGATTGTATGTTGGCATGATTTTAATTTTGATTTTTGCTGAAGTACTCGGTCTTTATGGTTTGATCGTGGCACTTATTATGACAACAAAAAATCAACCCGGTTGCGATTAAAGAATAAATGATTTGACACGCACGCACGCACGCATATTTCTTTCTCACCTTCATGGTTATTCTGCCTGTCTATTTATTCTTCCTTTTTTCCTAATCGTTGTTCGTCTCGTCTTGGACATCTTATTTGATTGTTGTTCGCTTGTCACCTTTTTTCTTTTGTTTTTTTGTCTGTTCACGCATGTATGAGAAAGTTCTGGCAAAAATGATTCCGTTTATCAACACGCATATATTTATTCCATTTTATTTTTTATGATATAAAACGATTATCTTGTGTGCAATTCATTCGCGCTCGTGTTGTATTCTACATTTAGTTGGTTTCTCTTTGTTTTCTTCGTTATTTTTATTTCTCATCGATGTAAGTAGATAGAAGTCAGTACGTATGGTGATTGTATCCCATCGGTTCCTTGATCGTTTGGTGTTAGAGTACAAAAACAAACATATTGATCGAGCACATTTAAGTGTATACATCAATTAATGTTCGCTATTTATTGAATTAGAAGAACAAACTTTTAATAATCATTACATTCTGAATAAATGTGTATTTAACGAAAGACATAGGAATTTTAATGTTTGATGAAATGTTTAATAGAGAGAAACAACAAAAAATTCTTATCAAAAAATAATATAATTATAGCTGATGAATTCAAGGACGGATCTAAGGCGTTTGCTGAATACAAACGTTGCCACAGAAAAAGAGAACAATCGTAGGAAACAAACTAGAAGTCGTCTTGTTCTAAGAAAATTTGTGAAATAGCTTGGAAGGAAAAAGGGATTGTTCGTAGTGTCGTCCTCTAAAGCCTTTATTTTATCAACTGCCTCTTCTATAAAGAAATTTACTCAAGCTATTGATCAACAAAGAGTATTGTGTTTCAAATGGAATACAAAAATGTTTTCTTTCGATGTGTCTATTGTTTGTAAGATGCACTTCTATAGCTTTATATATGTCTACATATATATATATATATATATATATATATAGTTAAGAATCATTTATATAAAAAGTATAGGCTCATTTTACCTACACGATCGATGAGTGAATTTGATTCAAAATTCATTTAGCAACTTTGCAAACCATCGATCAATGGAAAACAACGAGTTTTATTTTTGACCGGAATATTAGTAGTTTTGGCATAATTATTAATCATATGCGTAGAAAATATTTTTGAAACTACAAGTTTCTCAAGTATCAGCAATTTAATATTTATTTTTGTCACTCAACAAGATGTTTGAATCTCTTATTTTCATTTGTGTTTTTCTTTTTCACTTCATTATAATGAATTTTCTACATTAAAAACAGTTCGTTCTTTTCTCGATTCTTATTGCTTTCGTTAACAATATTTTTCGATCAAACTATGGGATTTAAATAGCAGAGAAAAAAAAAGAGAAAAAATCAAGTAGCTGAAAAAACATACGAAGAAAATTTCATGCAGACTGTTTTGTTGTTCCATCGGTGCACATTGATTTCTAATTCATGTCTTCCGATACTTTTGTTGTATCATCTGAAAGAAAAAAACATCCTCTACCAGTAAAACGAAGCCGATCTATTCAGCCATTGAGTCACATACCAGCACCACCCGATCCGTTACTCGCTCAATTAATACAGTTTCGTATTGATGGTCGAACAATTGATGCACGGAACGTTAACGAACTCTATCCCGGTTTAGATCGTTTACTTCTTCGATGTTTACAAACAGGCGATTGTCGACAATTAGATAATCGTTTACAACGAAATTTAAAAGCAGAATATTTATTAATTACAAGTAAACATGTACATCTTAGTGTATGCTCGCATACAGAAGATATACTGGAGAAACTTGTGGAAATGGGAGCTACTCTAGGTAAGTATGATTTATTTATACAGAGAAACATTTTGTTCCGATGATTAAATATGGCCTAGAACGAGTGCTATAGGATAGGAACGAAAATTCGGTTCACCGGCTAGAGATTTTGTTGAAGTGTAATAGTAGAATATATATGTATCAGAAAAGTCTTATTATAATCTATGACCTACACGATTGAGGCATTCATGAAGGAGTAAGGAAATATATTACAAAAATCGATGGGAATAAATTAATCTTTCGTAAATAAACAGTTGCACTGAAATAATATTTGATATTTTAATACCGATATTTCTATTTAAAAAGAATGATTAGTTGATAACAATTTTTTGTGCTTATTTTATAATATAGATTAAAGACCCGCTCGAGGGAGGAGATCTTTTTACAGAAGGAAAATTTATGTTCATTATAACAAAAACAAATAATCCAATGGTAATTGTTTCGAGACGAAGCTGTACAGAATAGCAATATAAAAGCATCTGATTCACATGTGATACCAAAATAAAAGCAAAATATGACCTTGAAAATTAAAAATAGATTATAATTTATTCGATCTCAAACAAATACCGCCGATTCTTTTATTTCCTCAGAATCTGTTTCCTCTTAGATCTTCACTTCTATGAACCGATTCATATGAAAGAACTAGAATTAATGTGTAAACATGGTTTTGATATCAATGAACGTATATCAAAATATAACAATCAAGCACCATTGTCAATATTTACAAGTAAAAATTATTCAATTGCCATGCTGGGCGTCTTAGTTAAGCATGGTGCACGCTTCGATTTTCAAGATAACAGTGGTCAAACGTGTGTTCATATTGCGTGTCAATCAGGAATAGCCGATCCTGTTTTTGAATTTATTATTAATAATTCACCTGATTCCTGTTTAAATATTAGAAATCAATCAGGCGGTACACCACTTGATCTTATTTATTTGTCAACATATGAACAAGCAAGTCTATCAAGATTACGTCGTTTACATTTACTATTAGCACGTAAAGGAAGTAAATTAACACGATATGGTATGCGGGAACCGAATTTACTTGCTAAAAAGCAATGCAAACTATTTGATATATTGGCGTGCAAAGAATTTTTATTCAAATATCGTCTTAAGGACATATTTGATCCAACAATACGATCGTTGGCATGGTGTATATTTTTATTTTATGATGTTTTACGTGCGTGTGAACAACGTAATAATCAAACTATTGGACAACAGACAATTCAAAGACGTCTCGATTGTTATTTAATATCGATGATTGAGAATGGTGAAATACCATTGGATAAATTAATATTTCGTCAGAATCTTCGTAATGATAATATATTAATTTCGTCGTCGTCATCCGCATCATCGCCAACATATGAATTGGAAAATCAACTTTTGACTGATACACAAAATTCACTTTTGCACATGGCACAAGTTAAAACGAAATTAAGCGAATTACGCATGGAAAAACTTACTTTAAAAGCTATATGCAGAATTAAAATTAAAAAAGAAATTCAAACATATCCCAATGATATTGTCAAAATACATTCGTTATCAAAAATTTTACAAGCGTATTTAACATATTATAATCCATTCGTTAAAGCCGATGTTAACCATTGAAATGCACCGTCTTCTTTCGGACACTGAGTGTCACAAAATCATTCACAAGATAATGTGTTTTTCTTACATAAAAAAATGAATTTATTTTTTTTAATAATAAAAATCGATCGATATAGACCATTTTTTTAAGAAAGACCATGTTATGGAAGTCATCGGAAATTTTTCCTATAATACTATGCGCGCAAACGTTGGGTTCAACAAATTTTAAATGAAAATTTTCGATAGAGATAGGCGTAACAGAGGTTCGTTTATGGTGAAATATTCAGATCTTGTGATTAACTCTTATCTTGAATAAGAAGATATAATTTCAAGGAAGGAAAAGCAGATTCCGTTCATTATGTGTGATTCCAGTACTATAGAATCAATTGTTTTCTCTTTGATTTTTTATAACTAAACAAAAAGCAATATCAGATTTGTGTTCGGAATGAAAAATTAATTGTAATCAAGATGAAAACAGCTGAATCCAGAGCATTGGAATCGCCCGGAAGCAATGGAATTATCAGAATCATTTGAAATCAGTCGAATCATTCAGAATCAGTGGAATCATCCCGGAATCACTAGAACTCACTGAAGAATCTCAGTGATTCCGAGTGATTCTGTTGATTCCAATGATTCTACCACCACAGAATCAGCTTTTCCCCCTTGCATAATTTGCCAAGCGCGTGTAACAATCGTTGCTTTTTAGGATAAAAATATCTGAAATCTTTATAGAAAAAGTTTTGTTACCAATGCCTATCTCTACGTATCGGAACTAAAAAATCACTTTGTTTACTGTCAACGATAATCACGCAGAATACACGGTTTATCCTTTACGCCCCATCGCTAATCTTACGAGTTCCGACAACATAAAACAATAATTTGTTTTTCACTTATTTGATGCAAAAGCTAAACTTAAACGCTAAAGTATGTTAATTGCCCAGATGATAAATATATAGCACTCTGTTATTCTTATATTCAGTTATAATAATTACTAGAACAGATACTAGTAAATATGCATTACATGTGTCTTTTATTATAGGCAAATGATTGTGACAGAGCATCCCGATGGAATGTCTTCTAAGACACTTCAATGCTGTTTGTTTTAGAAAGAGGATAAATATATGAAAGAGTGCTACACACAGGCTTGCCAAATTGAAATTTCAGAAATCAGGAGTTTTTTTATCAAAAAACAGGAGTTTAGCAGGAGAATTTCTTTTAGAAATCAGGAGAAAAATCAGGAGATTTTCTATTTGAAGTTAAGAGAACATTAAGCGATTTTCTCGTAGAAAATTCGAA